TAAAATTATTTTTCTAACCCTCACCCAAGGATTTTTTGTTTGTTTGTGTTTTTGTTTTAGAGAGGAAGGGTGAGAGAGAGAGAAACATTGATGTGAAAGAGAAACATTGATTGGTTGCTTCCCATACAGGCCCGAACAGGAACCAAACCCACACGCCAAGAGAGTGCCCTGACCAGGAATCTAGCCCGCCACCCTTTGGTGTATAAGATGACACTCCAACCAACTGAGCCACCCAGCCAGGGCAAAATCCATAGCTATATTAACCACTCTGTCTCTTTCAATGATAATTACCTTCTTAGGAGGCTCTTGCTTCTGAGTATATATATTCGTTTTGCCAAAACCCTGGCCAAACTTGACTACTGCTCCATCCACAATGAAGGTCACGGGAGCATTCTTTGGCTGGGACTGGTAGAAGAGTGGCAGTCCACACCTGGGAACAGGAGAGTGAGTCTTTGGGAGACCTCAGAATCCGGATTTGCAAAGTGTGCTGAGATTTCAGGAATATTTTTTGTTTGTGGCATAAACTAATGGTGCGCTCTTTCCAGTGTTTCCCAAAACTACTCACTAAGAATCACTAAGGGTGCTTGTTAAAATTGCTGATCAGATGCCTAACCCCCCCATCCCCAGAAGATCCTGATTCAGCAAATGTGGGGGTTGTGGCCTTGGAATCTGTAATTTTCCTCAGCATCCCAAGCGATTCTTATCATCAGACAAGTCTGGTGAACCCTGGCTCCTGCTACTGATTACTTTCCAGCCAAAACTGCTGCTATTCTTCCCTGGTGTCTGGGTAACTAGTTTGGGGGTTTGTCTAGTTTTGTTTTGTTTTGTTTTTGCAGTGTCAAGAGAGTGTGTAAAGGCTCCACTGCAGTGATCGGCTCACAAATGCCTGTGATTACTGAAACAAGATTAAACTTACTATTGTTTAATGTTCTATTAATCTAAAGCTGGAAATATATATATTTATATTGTATTAAATAAACTTCTGAGGTCTGGGGTCCTATAGCATGCTTTATAAATGGGCCTGGATTAAATTACTCTGTTACATTTACCATATGACCCAGCAAAACCACTTCAAGAGAAAAACACATGTTCCCACCAAGATTTATACTAGAATGTTCATAGCACCTCTATTTGTAATAGTCAAAACCATTAACAACTCAAGTGCCCTTCAACAAAGGGATGGTGAAACAAGCTGGTGCAAAGGACTACTACTCAGCAATAAAGAAGAACAGACTGCTGGTATACATAACAACTTGGATGAATCCCAAAAGCATTATGCTTCATGAAAGAAACCAGATATAAAAGATACAGATTGTACACAGTAAAACAGACATTGTAGAAATTACATAAACTTTTAGAAAAGGCGAAAACCACAGTAATAGAAGGCAGATTGGTGACTGCCCAGGGAGAGGGGTGAGGAAGGGGACTAACTGCAAAGGGAACATGGGGTCCTGGGACTGTTCTGTATCATGATAGTGGTGGCATTACATGATTGCATGCTTCTGTCAAATGGTACACTTGAAAGGGCAAATTTTATTATATATAAAATTACACCTCAACTTAAAAAAATTATATCATGTTAAAAAACTTATTTTTGCCCTAACCGTTTGGCTCAGTGGATAGAGCGTCGGCCCGTGGACTGAAAAGTCCCAGGTGCGATTCCAGTCAAGGGCATGTACCTTGGTTGCGGGCACATCCCCAGTAGGGGGTGTGCAGGAGGCAGCTGATCGATGTTTCTCTCTCATCGATGTTTCTAACTATCTATCCCTCTCCCTTCCTCTCTGTAAAAAATCAATAAAATATATTTTTTTAAAAAAACAAAAAACTTATTTTTGTGGCCTGCTGGTCAAAGATGTAACTCTGACTGGTCTCTTTGAGAAGCATATTGTTATTTGTGTAGAGATTCTAAGGATAAAGATACAACAGAGAATTGGATCCAAACAATTCTGGTCCTAACACATTGTCGTCACTACTTGCTTATGCTCAGAGAAATCCACACCGTTAATACTTACTTTGCACACTTCTTCCTGTACTGTCGTTCAATGCCTTCAGGCCTGCACAAAAAACGCAAGTCAAAGAAGAAAGATATGAACAAATATCACAACCTACCAAACATCACTATCTCATTTCTTCAAATGCTAAAAGGGCCTTTCAAATTTTTCCATTTCGCACTGACCAGTATGGTTCAGTTGGTTGGACGTCATTCCGTGTACTGGGAGGTTGCTCGTTCAATTCCCAGTCAAGGGCAAATGCCCGGGTTGTGGACTTGGTCCCCAGTGGTGGCCGATGTTGTGCTCTCATATCAATGTTTCTCTCTCTCCCTTCCCTTCCTCTATTTAAAAATCGATAAACTATCTTTAAATTTTTTCATTTCATAGATCAACTGGTTATGAAACAAGTGTTGATTTTAAAGCATTCCTTCCTTCCACAAATATTTACTGATAGGAGCCAGGCATTTCTCTGACAGAAGAAGAGGAGGAGCAGTTGTAGTCATAGCAGTAACTTAGTGGCAGTAATAAGAACAACAATAGAGGTAACTACTTGTACAGCTTTTACTATGTGCCAGGCAGCTGCTCTAAAGTGTACATGTGTTAACTCATTTAATCCTTACAACAAACCTGTGAGGTAGGTCATATTATCATTCCCATTTTACACATGAGGGCTCCTAAATTCAAAGTAATTACATAATTTGCCCAAGGTCATAGAGTTAGAAAGCAGAATAGGTTGAATTCAAGCCCAGGCCATCAGGCTCAAGAGCCCTAGATAACCAATTCTTCCACCCACCGTTACTTAACAGAAACCTGGGACTCATCCTTGATTCTTTGCTTCCCCTCATCCCCCACACCTCTGCATCAGCAAATCCTGTGCATTTTATCTAAAAAAATCTTACCCCGGACGGCACGGCTCAGTAGTTGAGCATCGACCTAGGAACCAGGTCACAGTTCAATTCCTGGTCAGGGCACATGCCCAGGTTGCAGGCTCTATCCCCAGTGTGGGGCATGCAGGAGGCAGCTGATTAATGATTCTCTCTAATAAAATAAAAATAAAAAAACTTAAACCTGTCTACTCTTCTCCACCTTCCTACCACCATCTTAGCCCGGACTACTGGTATCTCTTGCCTGGACTACGGTCACAGCTTCCTGACTGGTCTCCTCACTTCCCCTCCCTTTGTTTCAAATTTTTAATAGGCAACATGTACACATGGTATATACAGAGAATAAAATGAGAAGTAAATATCCTCCCCACCCATCGTCACTCACAGTTTTCTTTCCCAGAGGCAAATACTGTTTCTGGTTTTTTTCTGCTCCTCCCAGAGATAGTAGATGATACAAGCAAGGAATCCTTATTTGTACATAGAGAAAATACATTTTTTCTTTGCCCTTTTAAACAAGTGTAGCATATTTTAAACTGTTCTCTACCATTTTATTGACTTAAAAATGTTGCCCAGCCTGGCTGGCATGGCTCAGTGGTTGAGCGTCGACCCATGAACCTAGAAGTCACCAGTTTGATTCCCCGTCAGGGCACATGCCCGGGTTGTGGGCTTGATCCCCAGTTGGGGGCATGCAGGAAGCAGCCAATAGATGATGTTTCTCATCAATGTTTCTATCCCTCTCCCTCTCTAAAATCAATAAAAGCATATAAAAAGTATATATATGATCCTTCCCCATCATTGATAAAGAGATGCTTCATTCTTTACAAGGTCTGTACTGTATGCCTTTGTATGGATGAACCAAAATGTCTTTTACTTGGATAAATTCCTAGAAGTGTATCCACTTAAAATTCTGATAGACGCTGCCAAATTACTCTCTAGAGAAGTTGAACCAATTTACACTCCCACCACCCATGTGAGAGTTCCTGTTTCCCTACAGTCTCACCAACACAGTATGCTATTAAAGTACACTGCCAATCTGGCATGTGAAAAATGTGATCTCATAAATTGTAGTTCTTTTTTTTTAAAGAGTGAAGCTAGGCATCTTTTCATATATTTAATAGGCATTTGTATGGGGGGGGGTGAACTGTCAGTCTCTACCCTTTGTCTATTGAGTCGTCTTTTTATTATATACTAAGGGACTTGCAAATGTTAAGGGCCCTTGCAAATATTTCTTCCCCAGTTTTACATTTCTGACTTTTCCCCCCACATAGAAATTTTAGATGTTTGTGTGACCAAATAAATAGTGAGAGAGAGAGAGAGAGAGAGAGAGAGAGAGGCCTTTCCCATTCCAAATTCATATGTAAAATAATTCTGAATGCTTATTCTAGAATCTGCTTCTACTACTGTCTCACCCCAAATCATTCTCTAAGTAGTCAAGAGTGGCTTCCCAAGACACCTAGAATAAAATCCAAACTCCTTACCATGGCCTACTAGGCAGCAACTGGGCCCACAATTGGGCCCCTGCCTCATCCTCACACATTCCCTCCCTCTCTCACTATGCACCAGCCATGCCAGTCTTCCTTCTGTTCTTTGAACCAACAAGTGTTTTCCCACCTGATCTTTCACACATACTCTTCTCTCTGGCTAGAATGCTCTTCTTACTACTGTGCCACAGCTGTGCCATTCTCATCTTTTTTGGACTCAGTTCAAATATCACCTAGTCATAGAGGCCTTCCCTGACCACCTTTTTAAAGAGGTTCTCATGTGGTTCTCTGTATGAGCCCCTTGTTTCATTCATATGACCTTTCATAATCATAATTACTTTATTTTTTCTGTCATCCCACGAGATTGTAAGGTCCATGAGATCAGAAATCAGTGGAGACTATGCCTGTCTGTCTCACCATTCTATCCCCAGAGCTGAACAAAGTACGGAAACAAAATAAACATGCGATAAATATGGGTTGAATTATTTTAAGAATTCAGTTTAGTGAGTAAAATTATAATCATGGAGGTAAGTTCTTAAATGGAGGAGTGTATACAGTGTAATTAATGGGAACACAGAGGTTGGAGCACCAATCTGTCTGAAGCAAGCATGGAAGGCTTCATGAAGAGATATGTTCAAGCTGACAGTCCTGATAGAAAATGGTATTTCAGGCAGAGGGAATACTATGTGAAAATGCAAAACAACACAAACTATTCAGAGAATTACAAATAGTCTGTTACTAGCCTTAAAAAAACCAAAGGAGTACTACAGATCTTACAGACAGAAAGATTTTAAGATCAATTGTATACCAACAAATTAGATTACCTAGATGAAATGGTCAAATCCAAGAACAAAAGAATGACACAAACTACCAAAACTCACTGGCAAAGAAATAGAACATCTAAATAAAGCACAAGCAATCATAGAATAGATAAATGGGACTTGATTAAAATTAAAAATGTTTGTGCTTCCAGGAATATCATCAAGAAAGTGAAAGCACCCTGACTGGTTTGGCTCAGTGGATAGAACGTCGGCCTGCAGACTGAAAGGTCCCAGGTTCGATTCCGGCCAAGGGCATGTACCTTGATTGCGGGCACATCCCAGTAGGAAGGTGTGCAAGAGGCAGCTGATTGATGTTTCTCTCTCATCGATGTTTCTAACTCTCTATCCCTCTCTCTTCCTCTCTGTGAAAAATCAATAAAATATATTTTTTAAAAAAAGGAAGTGAAAGCACAACCCACAGAATGAAAAAAGATACAGTGGTGCTGCTTGGAGTGTAACGCCAAAGACTGTGATCTCCACCTTCTTTAACACTTTGCCTCTCTGCTTACAAGTATTCCTTATGCCAAATGTGCCCCCATTTGCTAACATCATTAAACTAGGGCACTGGCAATATTTCCTGTTTTGTGTATCCCATCTGGTTCCTACTAGGATTCTAAATTCGACCTAAGCCTGAAGGGAAATATTCACCATGCAACTGACTTCTAGAATCTAAAGTCAGCCAATCTTATAAGCTGGAGCTTTCAAAGCACAGGAATAGCAAACAAAAGGGGCTATATATTCCCAATGAGTTTATTTTCAAATACCTATGGCAAATTGGATTTTGTCAAGTTTATAAAAATTGATCAAGTATAAGGCAGGGTTCTTACTCTCAAAAAGTTTATCTTTTTCAGATATTGAGACTCTAATGTAAATGAGACAAGGCTTGCCCTGACCGGTTTGGCTCAGTGGATAGAGCGTCGGCCTGTGGACTGAAGGGTCCCAGGTTCGATTCCAGTCAAGGGCATGTACCTTGGTTGCAGGCACATCCCCAGTAGGGGGTGTGCAGGAGGCGGCTGTTCAATGTTTCTCTCTCATCAATGTTTCTAACTCTCTATTATATATATATATACATATATATATGTATGTATATGCGTGTGTATGTATGTATATATATATATATATATGTATATGTATATATGTATATATAAAAATGAGACAAGGCTTTTAAGTGCTTTATTAAAAAGTGATTAAATGAGCTGAATATTTAGACAAAGTAACCTTGTTGTCTTTCCCATTTTTAAAAAATATATTTTTATTGATTTCAGAGAGGAAGGAAGAAGGAGAGAGAGATAGAAACATCAGTGATGAGAAAGAATCACTGATCAGCTGCCTTCACACGCCACACACTGGGGATCGAGCCCGCAACCCAGGCATGTGCCCTTGACCAGAATTGAACCCGGGACTCCTCAGTCCAGGCTGGCACTCTATCCACTGAGCCAAACCAGCTAGGGCTTTCCTATTTTTAATCTCTAGGAATATATGTGATAGGGAAGGCTGAAAACTAAACAAAACATTTTCCCTGGTTGTGGCAGACAGCCTCTAAGGTGGCCCCCAATGATCCTTGCTCCCTCGTATTGACATTCTTATACTGTTCCCTCCCACAATGAATAGGGCCGACCTATGACACCAGGACACTGCAGAAATGATAGTCTGTGACTTCTGCGTCTTGAACATAAAAGACATTGTGATTTCTGCCTTGCTTTCTCTGGGATTACTCACACTGTGGAAAGCCAGCTGCCACGTCATTGAGGATATTCTAACAGCCCTATGGACAATCCCTGTGGTGAGAAACAGGCTTTTCCCCAACAGTTAGCACTCAGCTGCCAATCATGCAAGTGAGCCACCTTGGAAGTGGAGCCTCCAGCACCAATAAAAAC